GGAGGCGGGGCCGGCGCGCTGCTCCCTGCTGGAGCTCCCGCCCGAGCTGCTGGTGGAGATCTTCGCCTCGCTGCCCGGCACCGACCTGCCCAGCCTGGCGCAGGTCTGCAGCAGGTTCCGCCGCATCCTGCACACCGACACTATCTGGAGACGGCGCTGCCGCGAGGGTGAGCGGGCCCATCCCATGTCTCGGGCATTCGGCCGAGGTAGGAGCATGGTGCAGAGTGCCGACCCAGGCCTGGCAGCAGAGCGAGACTCTGACTTCGAAAACCAGATAGCCAGGAGGCCTGGGCTGCAGCGTGAGACCTGTCTTTAAAATCCCTCCCCCTCCAACAAACACTCAAACCTAGCCAGCCAACCAGTCAGGCCACACGTCCAGTGCATTACTGCAAGAAAGAGCACGTAAAAGCTGTTAGAGTCTCGTTTGGAAGGCCTTCCTTGTGCATACAGCAGGGTACTCTCAGCCTGAGCGGCTTGTTAGTGTGTCCTAGAGCCTTCCTGGTGAAGAGAGCTTCAGGGATTCTCCTGCCTGCATGCCACATAGGCTAGTCCCCTGACTGTTTGCTTCATCATTTTCTGTCTTCTGGCGACAGCACTCGCAAGACTGCTTTGTTCATTTTGTAGAGATTCAGAGGATTTACATTTATCGTCTGGAACCCCTGAGGTGATCTTTGTGGGCTTGCACTTCTCAAAGTGGAATTGTGGGATGGCAGGTTTGTGAGAAAAGCAGATTCCCTAGGTCCTCCCCAGGAGCAGGATTCTTTGCCGTGTAAATTCATGGTTGACACCAGAGTTCTGTCCTTGGCTCCACTCATCCACTGTGGGATGTTGGGCAGATTACTCCAAGTGTGAGTGGGAGCATTTGGTGGCAGGTGCCTCCTCTCATGAGGGGTGACTTTGGTTTTATAAGAAGCATGCAAAGCCCTCAGTCCTGTACGTGGCTGTTTGGCATGTATGTCTATTGGCCTATGTGTAATGTCCTATTTATCTTTTGTCTTATTTTCTCTTAGGATGTCTGTTTTTGTGTGGAAGATTTGTGAGACTGTTTCAGTAGTAGCCTTTAGTTACACAGGACAAGTGAAGTTTTCTCTGAGCACTACCTTTTTTTTTTTTTACAAATTACTTTTATTTATTATTATTATTAATTATTATTATTATGTGTGTGATGAGTTTTTGAGTGGGCCATGCATGTTCGTGGAGATCAGAATACAGCTTCTTCCTCTATGGCAGTGGTTCTCAACCTTCCTAGTGTTTCGATTCTTTAATACAGTTCCTCATGCTGTGGTGACCCCAACCATAAAATTATTTTTGTTGCTACTTCATAACTAATTTTGCTACTGTTGTGAGTTGTAAAGCAAATATCTGTGTTCTCCCATGGTCTTAGGTGACCCCTGTGCTGGGGTTGCCCAACTCCTGTGTGTGTGGGGGGTCTCGATCCACAGGTTGAGAACCTTTGCTCTGTGGGCTCAGGGGATGGAACTTGGGTTGTTGGCATGAGCAGCAAGTGCCCACTGAGTTGACTGGTCTTTCACCTGATGGTCAGTGTGTACACCTGTGACACTCAGCTCCCTCCAAAGTGCTGTCCATCAGCCAGCTGAGCCTGTAGTGGTCTTTGGGGGAACTGTAGGAGGTATGGGTAGGTCATTGCTAAGAACAGGATCACAGACTTTTTGTTAAACTGGAAACTTCAAAGGGGTGCTCCAGTCATGCTAACTGAACTAGAGCTTGGGACACCCTCTGAGAGTTGTGAACAAAAGTGTATAGTGTCCCATTAGGGAAGGTAATAGTCCAGTAGGGAAAGCAGTGGCACTTGGGGAGGGGGTCTCTTCTAATCTCCCCCACCCACCACTGCCACAGCTCTTGGGCATCTTTATGGAACTCTAGAGCCATGACTAGAGAATAAACCTCACTGAAAAATTCCAATTTTTTTTTTTGTTTTGTTTTTCGAAACAGGGTTTCTCTGTGTAGCCTTGGCTGTCCTGGAACTCACTCTGTAGACCAGGCTGGCCTCGAGCTCTCAGAAATCCGCCTGCCTCTGCCTCTTGAGTGCTGGGATTAAAGGTGTGCACCACCATCACCTGGTGCAAAATTCCAATTTTGAGAAAGCCATGAGAACTAAAAGTCTCCGGAGTATTGGTGTTACAAGTGTGAGCTACCACACCTACTATTAAAAATTTTTTAAAGATTTTTATTTGTGTATATGTGTGTGCTGTGTATGTGGGTATGTGCACATGGCTGCAGGTACCTACTTGTTCCAGAAGGAGGGTGTAAGATCCCCTGGAGCTGGAGTTACAAATGGTTGTGACCACTTCATGTAGATGCTAGGAATAAAACTCAGGTCCCCTACGAGAGCGGTATGTGCTCTTAACTGCTGACCAGCCCTACACCCAGCATTTCCTTACTTTTTGTTCCATTTGTGAGTTTTATTCAGTTAATCAGGAAGGATTTCTGTTTTAGGTGGTCTCTGGCACTCTTAGTGCTGAGCTTGGCCCTCAGCAGTGCTGTCTGGGTTCCTGGCAGCGTTTTGTGAGACAAGGTCTCCCAGTGCAAACAAGGCTGGCTTTGAACTCTCCATTCTCCTGCTTCTAACACCAACACACTGGGTACTGGCATGTTGGGACACCTGGCTATTCAGGCACTCGTACTCTAACCCATGAGGTCAAGGACAAATGGCTGGCAGACCTGGATTTGTGGATCTCTGAGGCAGTCCCTTTGTGTGTAACTTCCTGGGGAACTGCTGTGTGTGAGACAGTCCTGCCCTTACTTCTCTGAGCCCCTGAACATCTTTCCTGGATTCCCAAATCAAGTAGATTTTGGTGAAGAACAGCACCTGGCCTGGCCCCTCGTGCAGGCCTGGATCCTCCCAGCCCCTGCCATTGCCTGACAGGGCAGTGATGTTGGCCCAGGGGAGAGGGTGAGACTGGTCTGAGTGTTTATTGCTGGGATTTATTGTTTCTGAGACTCCAGCCAATGACTGACAGTCAAGGTATGGGCAGAACATTTGCTTTAGTAAGTTTGTAAGTGGAGCTTGGTGACCAGGCTTGCAATCCCAGCTCTCAGAAGGCTAAAGCAGGGGGATCAAACATTCAAGGCCTGCTTGGGCTACAGAGTGAGTTCAAGGCTAACTCTCATCTCAGAATAAAAGGTGAAAAGAGACTGGGGGTGGAGCTCAGAGGATGCCCAGCATGTATGAGTCTCTGGATTTCATTCTTGTAACTGTTGGAAATTAAAACAAACAAAACAAAAAGCTAAACTACCTCTTTCTACAAGGGTAGGGTGGTCTGGGCCTGGAGACACTAGAAACCTGGAATGGTGCCATTGGTGTTTAGACTGTTGCTAACACAATGAGCACTTCAGAATCTTCTGTCACCATTATTGACATACGCAGGGGCTGCCTTGGTCCCTCTGTTGTGGTGGCACACATGTCAGGTTGTAGAGTGACTTGGGGCAGTTGAGCACGTTGGAATCATTTTTGGAGGTCTTTTTGCGCAGGTCAAAGAGTGCCTCCTATTAGCCAGTTCTGTCCTGCCTCCAGGGCTTGTGCCATGAGTGGCGATACTGTCCCCAGAGGACAGGGACAGAACCTCGTACCCAGCCACCTGGGCATGAACACTTTTTTGATGCGTCACCTCCTTGGCCAAGGGCCACCTGCAGTTATGTCATGTGGGAAGGGCTGTAGATAAATTCTGGTCTCCAGAACACTGAGGGCAGGAACCTCAGTGCCTGCCTGTCCTTGCCTGACAGACCTTTTGTGGTGGTTAATGCTTCATCTAAACCTGATGCTGCCTCCTAAAGCCAGCCCAGGATTATTGCGTTTAGACATATCAGGCCCTAGTTTTTAGACCAAAGTATTCATTCAGGGGCTGGCAAGATGGCTCTGTCAGTAAATCATCTGCTGCCCAGCCCGATGCCCTTGGTTCAATCCCTGGATCCCACCTGATGGAAGGAGGAAACTGACTCCTGCAGGTGACCCCTGATCTCCACAGAGGCTCCTGCACACACACAAATAAAAGAAAATGTGACAAAATAAAGTAAATGTAATAATTTTTTTAAAAAAGATGGAATTCAGAACAAGGAAACAGTCAAAATTCTCTTTCTCCTTTGGCACCTTGCTGTAGGGCATGTACACTTGATTCTCACTGTAGCAATACTTGTAGCTCCTGTTCAGTGTTGTGATCAGGAGACTGCCATGGGCTTGCTCATTGTGCCCTCACCTTCTGACCCAGAGGTGGTGGAGAGGAGTCGCCAGCTCCCCCTCCATTCCCAGCTTGACTGGCAGTATGAGTGCTGTGGCTTTGTTAAGTAGCTGAACTTGGAGGCGCTGTCTTAGGAGGAGGTCTGAAATTGGCTTAGGAATACTTAAACTCCAGTGGATATGTTGAGCTTACCCATTCTGTGGAGGGGACCCAGCAGAGAAAACAGACTGTCCAGGAAACAGAGGGGCAGAAAGGCCCAGAGTTGAGAGGCGCCCCCTACACCTTCCTGCTTGAGGAAGCAGTTAAGCTCTTGGGTTGTGTTTTTATGCTTTTGTTTAGGTTGGTTTGCTTGTTTCTTGTGAGGAAAGATTGTACTCTGTAGCATAGGCTGTCCTTAAACTTGGACAAATCTTCCTGCCTCAGCCTCCTGAGTGCTGAGATAACAGATGTGAGTCACCATGCCTGGCTTCAGGGATTTGGGCGGGGGGTGTGTCAGGGTGAGGACCAAACCCAGGCCTTATACCTGGTAGGTGAGCTTTCTGTTATTAGACTTGACTCCCAGCTCTCTGTGTCTGCTTGCTTTTGATTTTATTTATTTATTTATTTATTTATTTGGCCTCATCTTCCACAGTGCTGGGGTTACAGGCATGCACTACCACATCAGGTTTCAATCCTGTTTTACTTTTTGTGAGACAGTATCTCACTTGGTAGTCTCAGCTTTGAACTGTCCCCTCCTGCCTCAGCCTCTGGAACTGGGGGATGACAGGAATGTACAACAGCCCAGTTCTAAGGTGTTCAAAAGTTAACTTCCATACACAACTTGTGTGGCCTTTCTCTTGCCAGCAGAGGCAGGAGGAACATGTGTGCTTGGGAGGTCTTTAAGGTTGCATTGCCATAGGAAAATAGGCTGGGTGTGTGAGTCTGTTTCTGCAGGCCTAGGGGAAGGCTGGCCTTGCCACAGATGGCCACAG